TAGGGGGGCTGCAGTTTAAGGTGTTATCACCGCCACTCTCACCAAGTTACTGCTTGCAGAAATGGGAAGCAGATAATGGGATACATGTCCTGTCCTGAGAGCTCCAGGTTATTATCTCTTGCCCCTGCTGTGCTGCTGCCAGTGGGGAGAGCATCCACAGCACTGACAAAGCTGCTCACTCCAGTGAACATCAGTCAGGCCATCTGCTTTCCCCTAAGCACCGGGACAGAACAAGGCTGACATGCAAGAGCCCTTTATGGGGATGTGATGCTCAGCCTGAGTCTGACAGCCTACCCGATTCACCTGCACTTGGCTTCATAATGGCTGCATGGTGTCAGGAGGGAAGCTCCTGTAAGGACAAGGCACTGTGTTATGGACATCTGCTTGGGGAGAGATGAGGGTAGGGTCACACTTTTCCCCAGCACTTGATCTTTGATAAAGTAAAGGAGTGGGAAGGTGGTGTTAAAACACCAGCACTGCAGGAACATGAGGGAGTCCCAGATTCACAGGGCTTTTTAATGTTAGCTGCAGGCCGAGAATCTTAAATACAAGGTATGGGGCAGAAGCCAAAGTAATCTTGGGAAGCACACCTGGGGGAGCAAGTCATCTTTACATCAACCACTGGGAGGAGAAGTCAACACGGGGTGATCAAGCACTCCTCAGCAAAGTCCCTGCAGGGACTCTCTCCATTGCAGTCATTGCCCGGCTCTCCCAGAGTCAGCAGGTCTTTGCTTCTTCCTGAAAAGAAATGCCTCTCCCATACCTGTATTTGTGAGCCCATTGTGAGGCTCACACATCATTACCTTTTGGTTAGAGTCAAATGGTTTCTAACTTAGAAGTCTGCTTACATTCACCTGTTTTCTCTCTCCAGGAAATGCAGAGCGTGACAAAGTCGTTGGTAAGTACTGCCACAATTACTGCTTCCATTTGTTGCCCTTGATGCAGTAATACTTGAAAACAAGTGAATTGTATTGTTCACAGGTGATTCCAAGTGGCGTCCAGACTGGGACAGACCTGCATGTGACGAATTCTGCATCTCTGTTATTGCTTTAAGGTCATTACTCCTTATACTGACAATTCTGGCCACCTGGCTTATACCCAAATACTGGTCTCTAGCACCTGGTAGTGGGTGACGCACATGTAGAAGACCAGCCAAGTGCTTGGCTTGGCTCGACTCATCCCTTGCCTTCACATAAGTTACTGGCAGCATAAAGGTTGATAGAGACACTGTTTGCATCCACGAGTGATTTAGAAATACAGAAATACTATCCCCATTACAGGCAGCAGCTATGAGAGCTGATAATAAACAGCTTTCTCATCGCTCAGAACCAGTTAAAAAGTTAAAATGGCTTTAGATGTTAAAATGGCTTTAAAAGTTAAAAAGTTAAAATTTTTATGAAGTGGAGCAGTGTGTGTGGGATCTGGTGGGTAAGGGAGCATGCTGTCTAGGCAGCACACTAAGGTGCAGGAAGCTGCCCAGCACACTTTTCTTTGGGAAGGGCTAGAGGGTGACTAGCCCAGCAGCCTGGCCCCAACTCCCAGCCAAGGTCCAGGGACAGTACTCGCCTCTCTCATTCCTATTGCACTCTTTCCTTGGATGCTTCTACAGCAATGTGCAGAGTATCCTATATCATTTAAATCTTTTTTTAAAGAATTTTTGGATCCATGTGAGCTCTGGCATTTGCATCCTGTGGCAGGCAGTGTGTTTCCCAGTCTCACAATGCACTGGAGCCATTGGTACTTCGCTTTGCTTAGAATTTGTTTTTAAACACACGAAATCTATGCCAAGACAGTTTCAGCTGTGTTTATGTATCACTGCAGTCTTACCTGGTTGGGTTTTTTTTTTCCTGAGCCTAGGGGTTTTACTGCTGTTTCAAACAATAAATTGTTATTTCCTGCTTCCCATGTATGGCAATTGTGTATTTGCAACATGAGCTAAAGCGTAATTGCTGGTGCACAAAATAACCCCACAATCATCTCCAGCTTACACAACACTGAGAAACAAAGTGCTGGCAAAGATAGAACTCCAGATAAAATCACACTGTACCCATAGTTAAAACTTTGGTTCAACAGCTACCAAAGAATGAGTCTCCTGGAACTTGCACTTCTGAAGCAGGCACAAAGCTGTGGGAACAGCTGCTGAGTTCAGCTGGGTGTGACCTCTGCCAACTGCAGTTGCTCAGCTCAAGCAAAGTCTTGAAGGAGCAGAGCTGCACAAACTCACAGCTGGATGGCAGTGATTTGGAAGCCTCTCCACCATGTCCCTCTTCAGGGCACTTACTCACACTGCTGTAAAGGAAGTTCCCCTTCACCCCTTCGTTTCTGGGATACTGTCACCACAGTACCTTTCAGTGTTTCTGCATACCTCCTCCTGATCCCACCATTGGCATGGATTTTAACTGAAAACACTGGAATGGGGACTCAACATTTCTTATACTACTCCTCCAAGTAGTTTACCTGCTTGCAGTAGAATCATTTTGGCATTGCAGCATTCCCTGAATAAATCACCCGTGCGTTCTGTGCACTCTCATGTGAAACCCAAGCCTCAAGCTCTATGTACTGCAAAGTCCCATCAAAAACAGGCCAGCAAGCGGCACATGGGCAGCAGGATTTACTCTCTGTACACTCTCTTGCACAGGGTTCCTGCACCAGCACGGAGCCCACCAGTGTCTGCTCCTATGAAGCCCTGTGCAGTTAGATCCTACTACTAGGAATGCAGGAAAGGGAAGTGCATACACTGCTGTTTCCAGGGAGCTTAAAATGAGGTCAGCAGGAATTCCCCCCTGCTTAGTTTAATCTATGCTCAGTCTCCAGGAGAAGAAACAAGGAACACAGAGACCTTACAGTTCAAAACATCCACAGCACTGACATTTAACTATATACTTCAGCAGCTCTTACGAAATACCACAGGAAAAGCTTCCTTAAAAAACCTGTAAATCACGGGGGGGGCTTAAGGTAATTAAAACCCCAAACTTTATAACGTGGCATCTTTCATACAAAAAAAAAGCCTGAAGGTCAAGAAGTCAAAGGTAAACAAGTAGCTTTGTCACCTTAGGGACATCCAAAAATCCAGGTATTTAGCTCTGGATGAGCAAACCACTTTGAACTGTGCACATTTATGGCATATACCCATGAATTCCATATGATAAATGCAAAACACTGATATAAATCAGTTTATGGAAATAATTTGCAATAGTTCAAGCTGTTCTGAAAATATGAAAAAACCTTTTTTACTCTTCCAAATCCACTGTATTTTCTGTTGTTTGCTTTTTATACGAGTTTCACAACTCTATACCCGTGCTCTCAAAAAACAGGTGCAAAAAGCACCAACAGTGACACCATGCAGCCAGTTGCTATTCAGATGTGGACTCCTGGGCAGACAAATCCTTTGGTTTAACTTTCCTACAGGAATGAGTGAACTCTTGATTTTCCAGTCTAACTAAATAAATGTCCAAGAGTCCTCAAAACCTGTCCACAATAAACAAAAAATATTAAACATCTGATGGCCTTCCACTCCATAACAATAGGACAAGACTGCCTGAAGACTGCTAATAATTCTACTACAGATAGGGATTTGATGTAAAAGCTAAAAATTTAGAACTCAGTTGTGAGTCCTAAATTAAAAAAGCACACTTCCACAGAACTAAGTATAATTTAAAGCCAAGCTGCCACCAAGGTGGGCTGTTTTCCTGCACTGCAACTCAGGCAACCAAGCATTTAGCTGATGCAGCTGGAAAACACTTTTTTTGTAGTATACTTTCACAGCCAGATCAGGTTCCTGAAATGATATGCCAGCCTGCAAGACCATTATGGGGCAACCAGCCCTACACTTGTTTTTAACTTTTTAAACAACAAAAAACACAAATACATGTGCCACTCCTCCATCATGACAGGGGCCTCATGCAGTTCAGCCAAGGACTCTCCCTTCCCTAAGACACTCCTGCTCCTTCCCTGAGTACTCAGGCTCCTTCTTACTGGGTTCTCTGCAGACTCCTCTGCTGAAGCACGTTTGTGGGGGCACACCCTCAGAACTGGCATTTAAATTCAGGTATTGCAGTGGCTCGTGTTGAAATTAGTCCTTGCGCTCTGTGAGAGGTCTGAACTACCTGACAAGCGCTGAACGTTGGTCTCCCCTTTGCACTGTCAACTGCCAAAGACCAGCTGGGGTTTCTAAAAAACCTTTCCAGAGTGCTGGTATCACTGCACCCATCAGCTCACTACAGTTTCTCAGTGGGGTGGCTTGTGACTTATGGAATCATAATCTCAGTAAAATATGCTTAAATAGTATTTTCCTGATTGATTACACAAGAAACTGCCACTGATGAACAATGCAGTCCCTAAGATTTTTTTTGCCCTTAACAACAAACTGCCAAGAAATGATCACATAACTGAAAGGCGTGTTAAGGCTGATGTTGTGCCCTACCCTGAAAGGCAAGCACCTTTGCTATGTCTCAACACACATGTACTGGCTATCTAATCACATATATTCTAAATTCTTATTTATATGTGTAAGAAAAAAAAATTGCTATGTTTTCACCTACTAGTTTCAAATAGAAGGTCACCAACCAAAAAAGCAAGTGGCACCGTTCTAGCACAATCATTTCTACTCCATGTACAGGTGATCAACATTCCAAAACCTGGCAAAAACGCTCTAACAGAGTCAGGAAATTAGTGTGGCTTTACCTCCTCATTACATTTGTTTCTTTAATCTCAAACATATGAAATAAGCAACAGTTGCTCTGCTGGTGCACTTTTATTTCATCACATTTTGCATTTTCAGGAAACTGAACACCCTCTAAACTTCCTTCAAAATAGGGGCAGGGCCTCAAAAAAAAAAAAAAGAGGAACACAATTTTTTAAGACCTTCTTGCAAGCAGGACATAAATTAAAAATTTATTTAAAGCTAGATCAAATGATTTCATGTTTTCCCCGCAGCACACTCCCTCTGTAAAGACGCTTACTTTGTACCACATTCTGCCTAAAAACCCACAAGGATAATGCTAATAAATTACAGTTTATTAATGGTATTAATGGTAATCAATGAAGATTATGGTTTGTCTAATTCTCATATGAAGCTGTGAGTTTGTTTCCTGGAAAATGACATGTAGGTTGGGCAGTAGATTATGAATTAAAGGACTTAAGAACAATATATTAAAATAGTTTATTAACATCAAGACAAGACACACAAAAATAATCAGCTTTTACAGAAACAAAAGCATAATACAGTAAAAAAATCTTGCCTGTTTAGCAGAAGTTATCACCACAACTGAGGCTGCATATTGGCTGGTAGTCTTTCACAGAAGAATTACCTTGAACTTTCACCTTTTTAGAGTTCTCTGACTCTAAAGTTTAACACTCCACATCAAACTCCTAATGTTTCTATTATGAAACCTTCCCTTTAGGCAGATGGGGCATTATCTAAACTCTCTTACTTTCTCAAACACCATAGCAGCAAGATTTTCTTCACCAACTTTAGCAAGTCTGCACAGCTGCTTTAGGTCCACTAATTAAACTGTACTTGTGAAAATAGAATGACCTTTCCACCTAGTCTTTTCTTATCCACATTATACCAACAGCAAAAAGTCTCCAGTCTTCCAAGGATGAAAATGTTCACTACTGGAGGAGAAAAGTGAGCATCTTGGATGGTTAATTACTTCTTTTTCTTTTTTTTCTTTTCATCTGCTGCCATTTTTAACTTTACTTCTTCCTCAGGAAGTGCTCCCAATTTCTTCTTCTTTGCATTCTTTACCTTTTCCTTGATGGCTTCGATATCAATTTTTTTCTCAGTGGAGGCTACATAGTAGGAAATATGAAAGTAACAGACAGGAATTTTACTTCTTAAAAATTTTAACAGTCTAAGAGATGACTTCATATATAAACACAGTAAACTGCATCCTGTGGCATTAGTTAGGACTCATTTTATGTTCACTAATGTTTTTATAGATTGCTCAGCTAATCATTTTTGTTGAAACTTGTATTATCTACAAATCTTATTCAGCAGAATTCAAAGAAGAACACTCATATAAAAAAATCCCATTCAACTGCATTTGGACACAGATGCCACAATACAAACTATTATCCCCCACTCCTCAGAACACAACTGTACTCCTCTGAAATTAATACAAACACACTGTCTTAGACATAGGTCTATTGGCGTGATTGATCTCATACAAGAAGAGAAGAAAATAACTGAATGCTTATACCTAGAAAATCTTCCACGGTATTTTGTCTTTCTGCAAGTAACTAAAGTGGTAGGATCCCAAACATGCCTGTCCCTGGCCATCCATTAATGGCTACTGTTGGAAAAAGGATGGGGAAGGGTGGACTGGGGGCATATGGTGTAGATCTTTGACCCCTGCATGTAGACCTTTATAAGAGACTTCTACAGAATACTGAAGTGAAACACTTAATGCTGAACAACATGAATAACCTACTCTTATATTCACCTAAGTGACAGTATTTACTCTTTTGAGCATGAGTCATGAGTTTGGATCTAACTCTCCTATTAACATGTAGTTAATTCCTACATCTAACAGTAGGTACCAGGTGTCTTCTTTGGATCTCAGTTCTTCTCTACATACAAACTAGTTCTGTCATCTATTCTTGGAAGACTGAAGGATTTTAGCTCAAAACACACATCAATTAGAAAAGCACTGTATCTGAGAGACAGTGCAGTCATCAACAGGCTCATTGGAAATTTACTGCTGTCACAAAAAAATAGTACTCTATAAATGCTGCAGAACACATGCTTTTCAAGAAACACAGACTTTAAAGTTCATAAGAAATTGTGTAAAATATAGTGTAATAATATACAGGTAGCATAGCCAATACCAAACATACATAGTATATCTAATACCACGAATATGCAGCATAATCAATAAATCCAGAAAACTGAAGACTTGTTTCTCTAGTGCATAAAAAATATCATCTGAGAACATAAGCTCTTACTCTGAATATAGTGGTTTTACTTTAACTTTTAGATGCTTGTGGCGTAAGTTTTCAAGTAAATACTGCTTTTAGGTTTCTTTTTAGAAAAGCCACTTGAAGGTCAAAGTTATGGCAGCTTCACTATAAGACTGAAAGCCAGAAATTGATGTAGCCAGGACAGCCAATTGAGATTGGCCATTCTACAGATAACTGTAATTTTACAGGTAAAGAATTATTGGCTGCATGATCTTTCTACTGTCCCTGGCAACTCTAGGCATGGCTCTGACCACTAGGATTTTTTTGTATGAGCTTTTTTTTTTTTTTCCTAGGCTGTATCTGCAAAGTCAGTTAGCCTAGAAATTGACAATAGAACAGGAAAAAAAAGGTTACCTTTCTTTGTTTTCACAGCTGGCTTTTCCTTCGGTGGAATAAAAGCTTTATTTCTTTCTTCTTGTCTTTTCTTGATTGCGTCTGCTTGCTTTGCCTAAAGTTACCAATAAAAAGGTCAAGTAGCAGTAGAGTAAAGCAAAAAGGACAAAAAAAATCAAATTCAAGTCAAATGCTCTTTTAACTGGACAGTGCACTAGTACAACTTTACCTTTATCTCTTCCATTTTCTTGCGTTTCTTCTGTCTTTCTTTCAAGAAGTATTCACCACTTGCCAATTCTTTATCAATCTATGTACGACAAGTACCAAGAAGCCTTAAGTAATTGTGGATTATAAGCCAGATGTTTAGTATCAGGAAATCATGATCTTGACAGAAAAAACCTCCCAGCCTCTTTCTACAAAGAACACGATTTCAAGTCGTGCTACATTCCTACATAACCAAATAAAGTTTCAGCTGACCTGGCTTTCTGGCTGTGGAGGTGGGAACGGTGTGTACTCCTTCTTGGTATTTTTCTTCTTGGGCTCCTTGCGTTTTTTCAAGTTCTTCCGCTTAAACTTAGGTAAAAACCTTTCCCAACTTTGTGTCCTCAGTTCAGGATCTTTTGCTAATTCCCTTTTGATCATCAGAGTCTTCAGCAGTTTCAGAATGTCATAAAGAAGTTATTAAAAACAGTATTATAGTAGCAGTCAAGATATTCAAAATACAAATTTTACTAGACATCCTTACAGTGAATATGCTACATCCAAACCTTTCATCTCTCACTTCAGTGAGAGCCGTGGGGCTTAATTACGTACAGCAGAACCAGAAAGATGCATACATCTCAAAATGGGGACAGAATGCACTGGAGAAGGTGCCTCCAAGCAAACAGTTGAAAGGTAGAAAGTTTATACATACTTCCTTTGATACTTCCTCAGATAATGGTATTATGGCAATACATCCTAATAAAATGGAGGATGTCAAAGTCAGGATTTTTTAAAGCAGCACACTGCAGAAATTCTCAAAAACAGATTACCACACATAAACATACAAATTATTAACACACAATTATCTGGGAACAAATAGTATTTTCTTGTAAACAAAGACACACAGTAGACTATGCTAACCTTGATGTTATATATGGGATGTATATTCTTCATTGTGTCCAGAACAACTTTTCTAACCTGTATTTAACACAAAATGAAGAACAGGAAACTCAGCAAGTGTTTCATATTCTAATCATTTAAAATACCAGCTATATTATCTTGCTTCCTCTCCCCACCTCTGTCTCCCCAGAGTAGTGAGATATAAACATCAGGTTGTAAAAGACCTCCAAGATCATCGAATCCAGCCTTTAAAAAGTTCATGCACACAGTTAACTGGAAGGCACAGCACTTTAGAAATATCAATAATATTGCCATGTTTCTAACAGATTCCAGCAGGCCCCAAAAAATATATTACTGTCATGTTCCCAGGGATCTTACGATGTTATGAGGAACTTGCTTTTGACAAGCATTCTTCTAGGTAGCTATTAAAACATATATAAATATTTTTTCTTCCAAGACAGAATGGCCTCAGAGTCTAAAAAAAATTCAGCAGCTAAAACAATAAGACTACAGATAGTCCTGTATCTTACTAACACATAGCTGAAAAGTCAGTGAAATACTTGAGGTTGCCAGACTTTGCCTAGCACCTGCCCTAGAGCTGGGCACAGAAGTTTGCATTTGCTACACAAAACAGCTCATCTACCTCCCCTTACCTCTTTTAGCCCACTAAAGGGTCCAAGAGCTGACACAGTGTTGCCTTGTACCATAATATAACAGTTTGTTAACAGTTCCAGGGCCTACACCAAAAAAAGAAATGAATTAAGTATGAAGACCTTACACAAACTGGGGTGTAAAAATTGTCTGGTTACTACACTTAGAGGAAATACCTTCAGAGTAGATCCTTTTGGCCCAAGAAGCCGTGCTCTTCTTTTTATAAAAGTCTCTCTCTTCCTCACCAGAGAGCCTATCTTAATGATGTCACACGCAACATCATCCTGAAGGATACGAACTGCCTAAAAGGAAAAGATGCAGTAACCATCATCTGAATGCAAATCTATTATTCATAAGAGTCAAGAGAATACTTCAGTTTATTCTTCTCACTTTGCTTTCAGATATATTTACTTTAAATATATCACATTTCCAAAATGTACTCTTTTATAGGACAAAATTTGAGTAGGATATAGAATGGAATTTAAGATAGAATATAAGCATTATGATAGATACAAACCTCCAGGATTTAATACAAACCTGCTCAAATGGAACACTTCTTGCCAGAAGTTTTATTAAATCTCTAGCCCTGATGATTGCATATGGATCAAAAGTCTTCTTAGTGGTAGTGACAGTCATGCTTCCTTCAATTAGATCCAGCGCTGCATTCACATACTGCAGTATTTGAAAAGAAACAGTGCATCAATCTCTAAATGGGAACCTCACAATTCGGCTTTAGCAATAAGCAGTTAACAAACAGAATGCCACATACTGAATGCAGAACTATTTTCCAAAATTTCTTAAGCAACTTTTAGCTTAAGGAAATTCACACACACAAACAAAAAACAGACTGAATATATGTCACAAGGCCCAAAGCATCTCCCTGAATTTAAGTGCTGAACAAAGCTGTCAGGGTCTGGATGAGAAGACCAACAGAGAGCTTTGCTAAGAGCATCTGTAAAGGACTGCAAGTCTGGCTACACAGTTCTTCACTGATTTTGATGCCAACAAAAAATGACACTGCTTATTCTAAACACAAGCAACTTCCACTAATTTTATAAGCTTAGTTAAGACATGTGTGTCCCAAAAGATTAAGTGCAGCATCACAATTATTAAGAATTCATACGTGTTCACCCAAGGCTTTCTGGACGAGGGGCCAGCACTCTTTCAAGTATGCTTCTCTATACTTTGGGAATAATGTTGCAAAGCTGCTTTCTTCCAGCAGCCCTTTGGGATTATCCTCTCTTGTAAAGGCTGGCTCTTTCCATCCATCTGGCACTGTGAGAAGTTCCGATTCATCAACTGTTAGAAGCATAACAAAAAAGAAAAGAAAAAAAAAAAAAGCTGTTGAGCTTCTTTCCCCTCCTATTGCATCAGTGTTACACATCTCCTCCTACAAAAGACAGGGTAACTGAAAGCAGAGGGACGAAGTTTGGTTTAATACTCTCTTGAATGTGGTTTGCATCTCTACTGACCTTAACGAAGTCGCTGTTTTAAGCTACTTATATTTCAAACAAACAAACAAAAAAACCCCACCGCTGAGATATGCGCTGTTGATAAAAGGTTACGTATACATATATACATCAAAGATTACTAAACAAGCATATTACAGAAGCACAAGGCACAGACTGAGGCAAGGAACCCGAGTACCTTGAGGGCGGGCGCACCACCACAAGCCCCGAGCACCCAAGAGCCGCCTCCACCCTCCCCAGCGCCGCACGGACAGGACCCGCAGCCCTAGGGCTTCCCGACGCGCCAGCCACTAGCCCCGCAGTGACCCGTACCCCGCCCGCACCTGGCGCCGCTTTCTTCTTGTTCTTGTTCTTCTGTTTTTCTCTCCGCCTGGGCTCCGGCTCGGGCCCGCCCGCCTCGCCGGCAGCCGCCATGTCCGCGCGCGCGCCGGAAGGGGCGGGGGGCGGCGGTGCCCGACGGGAGCGGGCGGGGCGGGCCGGGCCGGGGCTCCCAAGGTGAATGCCGCGGTGTGGGGGAGAGGAGGATACCGGGAACGTGCCTTTGCTTCCTCCCCCTTCGTGTGAAACAGCTTTTCCAGCCACATTTCTCAGTTTTGATTTTTTTTTTTTGTCGTTACTCTGCAACTTAATAGGAGAACCACCCTGCCTCGTCAAAACGTACAAGCACATAAAATGTACAAGCACGTAAATAGCTGAAGTACTTAAGTGCTCATAATTAACGGAAAGGAATTCCTGATGAAATATTTCAGTTGAATAACTGAATGCTCTGCATCCTCTTCCCTCCCGCTACCTGTTACTGAGCATTTTCTTCAATAAAAGCAAGAATGTTGCCTTCTCTGTCCTTTATGGAGACCATAAAAAGCCAATGGAGTGAAGTACTGGAGGAGACCTTTAGGAGCAAGAACACTGTAAGGCAACGCGGTATTGTCTTTGGCAGGTGTTTATCAGACCTGTTCGTAAAAGCCTGCTCTCTGCGATGCTTAAAAATGATGAGAAAGATATTTCTATCATCTGATCCATACATAATGAAAATATTAATTAAAAAAATCAGTTTTGACACGGCCACACACTTTCCTTTTGACCTGACACCTATCTTTCCTAGCGTGCTCCATCTATTTCCCAGCCCTTCGCCCACTCCATCTCCCACAGCGAACAGGACTCCAGGATCCCTTATGCCTTCACGCTTGACATCCAGCTGGTGCATGGTTTTAGCCGTTTATTTTAATTTCTATCTGTCCATATCCTTCAATCAGGGATCCCGCTGTGGGAGCGCTTTCCCACAGGCGGGACAAAAGCGGGGAGGGGGCCCCGCGGCAGAGGGTGCTGGCAGGTCCCTCCGGCGCTCTGGGGAGGCTGGTTACTCGTCCCCGGTCCCGCTAGATGGCACTCGCCGCCACGATAAGTGGAGCATCCCAGACGGAGCCGCCGTCCGCCCTGGGGCTTCTGCCGGAGCGAGGAGACGGGAAGGATGGAGGCGATGGGAACGTGCTCCCCCCTGCCCGCGCAGCACTGCACGGGGGGAGGGGGGATGGGGGGTGTCCTGCTCCTGCCTCGCCCGACACCGAGCTTTGGATGCCGAATGCCAGAAAGATTCGGTGCCTCTGGACGAGCACAGAGAGGCAAATCTGCTTCTCTCAGTTCCTGGATACAGAAGTCTTGTGGTACTGCCTGCTTAGCTGGTATCCCTCAGTGCTGCAGAGCCCTTGAGCACAGCACGGGGATCTTGCCCAGGTGTAGGCACCCCGTCGATGCGAAGGAAGGACTGGGGGTCCTGGAGAGGCATTTGTCCTCGAAGGGAATGCAACAAAATGCATGACATGCACACTGCATTTCTCACCTGAACAATGGTCAAGTTTTGTGAAAGTGCAGCAGAGCAGATTTGGGAAGAGTTTGAGGAAGGATAATTAGTTTAGTTCAACACTTGTTTAGTGTCTGACTCTGTCTGTAAGTAAGATGTAACCCACCAAAAAAAATCACGGGAGTGGACTGTGGAAGGGGTGTGCCAGCAGTGTTTGGCAGCGGGAATCAGCTTCCTGACAGGACAAGAGGGGAGAGGTAGAGGGGCTGCAGTCCATTGGAATGTCAAGAGTGTGCAGAAAAATTACAGACTGCAGTGAGAGGAGGGAGCCCAAGGGAGAGGTGTAGGGGAGGAGGTGGCACAGCTCCTCCACAGCAGTGGGTGAGGCAGTGTGCTCTCTGAACAAGCAGTTTTGAAGGTCACAGGAAAGGACTCTGGTGAGATATACCATTTTTTTCCTCCAACCTGCCAACCTCTTGGGTAGCGCACTTGCTCCATGTATACACCTCTCATATCTCACCCTGTATTTCACACCTCTGCAGTGGCAACAACAGCTTACTGATGTGCCCGCCCCTCTCCTGCATCCCAGCCCCTGCTCCAAATGCTGCTGCAGGGGAATCATGGAGCCCCCCAAACCTCTGTGGTAGAGGAGAAGTGCACAGTGTATGGTGTAAGGGGCAAGGGTCTGGGGCCTCATGGCACCCAACTTCTCCTTTTCAAAGGATGAACAGCCCTCTCCCGTCCAGCGCTGCACTGAAGTGTGTCTTTGCATAATTGAGACAGGTCCACTAAAATAACAGAAAATAGAGGCAGTAATGCTAACAGGCATTGGAAGTTGTGATTCAAGGAGGGTCTCAGGTCCTCACCTTTCTGATTCCTTGAAGGAGGCAGTAATTTCTCATGTTTTTCTCTTACCTCAGTATCTGCGGTCTGGTTGGATACAGGGAAGCCACTTTCCTAAATTCTTGGTAGGAACAGGGTGCTCCCACATACCTGTTCTACTTCTCCAGGCAGCCTTCCCAGTCTCCAGGCAACAGCATGTTTATATAATTTTTATTAGTCACTGCTCAAATGCAATAACCAGCCGCTGGTCATCTGGCAGGGTTTGGAACCTGAGTACAGCTAGCTGGAGGGACAGTGGCTGATGAGGGGGCAGGGACTGCCCAGGTGCCCAGGTGACTTCAGCTGAGCTGCACTGTGATGGCATTGCTGCAGCTCCACAGGAGCTGGGTCCTCTGCATGCTGGGTCATCTGCACACTGAGCTCCCAGGCAGAAGGGACAATGTGAGTGCCAGTGCAGTGGTGGGCACAATTACGACACGGCATTTGGGATGCAGCACCGCTGAGACTCCCTGCCCTCAACTGCCCCATCTGCCAGGGTCTGCATGCCCTCCCAGCTGTGCCAGTAACAAGAGACAGTGTTTTCCAAAAGCAGCTTTCACTGGCAGCACGTACTGGGTTCAGTGTTCTAACAGCCCAGTGTGAGATGGAGAGACCTAATTGCAAAGGGCTCCTGCATAATACAGATCCCATCCTGAAGCAAGACCCCTGCAACTGCTGGACTCACTGCTGGGCTTGGGAGGACCTGGGGCAGCTCTGTGTGTGTGTAGTTTTTTCCTCTTGAAAACAAGACAACGGAATGAAACAGCACAGCCATACAGCCTCCCTCACATGCATTTCAGGCGATATGATAAAAAGGCCAGTGCTCTTTATTATGCAGCGAAGTAATTATTTCCTAGTCAGTAGATAGGACTCCAGCCACTTGGCACTTTCTTACATGCCATTTTCCAATCCAAAAGAGCGACTTGGGATTTTGTGATAATTCAAGCAATCAGATGAGCTCATGCACATGGCATTCATTCACTAGGAATGCCACACAGATCCCATTCAGCCTGAGCACTCATAAATCCATGTGACACTTTTATCTATTTATAAACTTTTAACAGCAGGTTATGATTTATGCAAGCCGTTTTCCAGGGATTAATAAGCAGCTTGTGTTGATGGCAGCAAGAAGGGCCATTAACTACTCTGGGACAGTCATTAATCTGTAATAAATACTCAGCATCTGGATCATTTCTATGTAATTAAATAATCAATACTGCCTTTTGATTGAAATAACTGGAGAATTGTATTTCAAATTTATCTTGGCTTGGGGTGTTTTTAATTCTTTTAGTTTACAACAGGGCAGGAACAGACACACAGGCAAGCAAGAGCTTCTCCTAATGTAACAGGCTCTTAAATTATCAGCTGTCATATAAAACCTTGCAAGTGATCAAAATATCAAGAGAAAAAAATAATCATGTGTTTTCCTTTTTCTGTTAATAGAGAGTACTTTCATTATTGGAACAAAATTAGGTCATTGAGTGACTGAAACTGGGAGGTAGCCTGACAAAGTGAAAATAACCAAACATAAACTCCCCCTGCCCAGCCACCCCCAGAAAAGTCCCTTTTGTTTCATTCCCCATCTGGCTAACATGACCTCTGTGCCCTCAGGTGGATAGGGTTGTGGTCTTCATTTCTCTTTCCCTTTTCCCCTTCTCTCTCTGGGGACTAATGTGAGTCACTTCTCTGGTTTTGTTTTGTTCTTGTCTTTGCTGTTGAATCCAGTGATCTGCAGAGGTGCTGATAGATGATGGTATCGGTGCCCCTCACAAACCTGATCAGACAGGAACCACATTGCAGGAACCACACTGCAGTGGTGCTGCTGCCTTCTCCATGGAGAGAGGGACACGGCCAAGCAGGCGGAGTTCATCAGAGATGAGAACAAACAAGTAAGTGGGAGTCAAAAACATGAATTTCAAAAGAAAGAGACTTACTGTATCGCCACAGGAACATATGCTAATTCCCATCCCTTTGGGCTGTCTTTTAACCAGAAAACAAATCTGCACCTTACCAAAAGGACATGATAGATGAATAATAACTTACCTTCACTGTTAAAACCTAGGAAAAAAGCTAACACACAAATAAGGTTTATTTTTGAGATTGGAAAGATGGGAAGAAAATTTTGCAAGAAAGAGGGAGAAGTATCACTGATGTGATAGTAAAGCTTTCAGAGGTGGCTACCATAAAGACCCTTGTGAAGATAAGCATGAAAAGATAAAGAAGAGGGAACAGTGTTCATCATAAATTCAGCTCAGCTAAGGGATAGCTGAGTCTGTGAGAGGGCAAGGGCTTCCCTTTGAAGGAGATTGGAGAGGAGAGTACATGCTGAACCCTAAGAATAACAAGGAGCTGGAAAATGAGAGTACTGCAAATCATAAAAGTATCTGAAAGGGCAGGCTGGAAAAGCAAAGCAATGATAATTTGTGGCAGAAGGAATAACCCAGGGTAGGAAGGAAGAATCTATGGGTAAAAAAGATGTTATCTTTGGGGAATGGCTTGATTGCAAAAAAATTTCTGTCAATTTGAGCACAAGAAAGGGATGAGAGCCAAATTGTGAAAGGAATTAAGCAGTATTATGAAATCAAAGCAGCAGGTTTAGATCAAAAGGTCTTTCGAGCAGCAAATGTGTCTAATCACGTGTTCCTACAGTGACTGACAGAATGAGGCTTTTGTCTTGACTTGAACCTCTGGGAGTTGTCAGAAAGCAAACACCATACCAAGGCAAGCTCAACCAGGACCTCTGAGATATATACAGGAGAATAAAAATGGGAGA